CCATTAAGAGCAGTGACCCCTATTTCATGTCAGCCAGTGACATTTGACTTTTCCATGTCATCCCCAGAAATATTAAGTTCATACCTGTTCCAATGAAGTATCCAGAAATGGCTACATCAGGCACAACAGATCTTACTCATCTTAGCAGAATTATGAGGATTTGGTTTTTTTTGTCTCAACCCATGTTTTGCAACTTCTCTTCACCCAAGTGATGAAGGAAGCTGTCAGAACGGGGGTGGCGCTTGTCAGAGAGGCCATCAATAGTCTGTCTGCCACCTTCAAAGAATAGAGGTAATTGAGTCGGTTTGGAGGCTGAGTAGGCTACACCCCTCTGGTTCTCTCACACCCTGGGGACACAAACCTGCTGAAGGACAACAAACATCCCACCATATCTGTGACTAGTGACCACAATAACCTGTTCAGCTCCTGTATCTTCTACAGCCCTAGGCATTAACATTAAAATGTCAAGCCTGGTAGTACCTTGGGCCACGTAGCTTTACTCCGAAAACAACTCTGCTGGTTCTAAAGGTCTACAGTATTCCTGATCTAGAGACTGCTCTGTTTTATTACTTCATTCTTAGGGCAGTATCTTGGTTATTCACTAAATTTGACTAAATTAAACCGCAGAGTACAGCAACCCATTGTAGATCTAACAACAAATTGACCGTGATATCAGAATCAGAAAACTTTATTGATCCCTGAGGAAATTGCTTATGTGATGATGACTGCCACAACACACAACACAAGAACAATATAAAATAAAAGTCTAGATAAAATCTAAATAGAAAACAACCACAATATGAAGAGACTATGCTACATACAGAAATACTTGGTATAATATCTATCTATAAGTCACGCAGCTGAGGGGAAAACTATTGACATAAGTGATAGTTTGGAATAAGTTATTGCAAAAATCAGTAGTAGTAATTAAGTACTATTAAGTAATAAGTAATATTAAGTAATGAAAAGTAATATTGACCAAGTAGTAATATGGCACATGAAGACTATTGCACATACGATTTTGCGAGAAATTAAATGATTTGTTTAGAGAACAACCTATGATATTGCACATAATAATGTTTCAGCAACCTGGTAAGAACATTGCACAGTATTGCACATAAAAGACTGTTGCACATCATAGCAAAAATAATGAACAGTCTTTCACACAATGATACATTTAACCTGTAATAAATATACAGCAAGAAGCAGCAGACTATCGCAAGGATTATTGTGTGGGTGTGTGACTGAGGGAGGAGTTGAGCCTGATGGTGGTGGGAAGGAAGGATTTCCTGTGGCGTTCAGTGGAGCTGCAGTGCAACAAAGGCTGACACACGTCTATCACTTAATGTCACATTGCTGGGAGCCCTATGCTCAGTAGGGTCCCACCTTTAAAAACAAGTCTTCACAGATAACCTTAATGCTGCAGCAAAGTACATAGACCTAAATAATTCAAAGGCTTAACAAAAGCTTCTATACAGTAGGGAGAAACAGACTATTGAGATGACTTCTCCCAATCACTCAAAGTAGTCAATAACACTTTCAGAATGACACAAAATGGCTTCCATCAAAATAACTGCATGCAGAAACAAGCAATACAGTACCGAGGAACAATGGCAAAGAAACTTCTCCCCAGAAGCAGAGGTCAAACTGCAGTCATTACAAGCATTTCCTGTTCCCAGTGGTTACAAATAAAAGACTTTGGGATAAATGCATTTGTCCGTCTTAACAGCATGTGCCTCAATACACATATGGACAAAGGGGCTCTGGGCCTTAAGGGCGAAAGGCTGGAACACTCTGGAGTCTCCTCAGAGCCCCAAAAAACAAGGGCTGAAATGCAGTGATGGGGGACACATTAAGGGCATGGCCCTGTGATACCAGAGCACAGCCAAATGGGGCTTACCACATTCTCTCAAGCCATTTCCAAAAATATTCCAAACAGCAGCATATGGACAAGAGTGTGGCGTTCAGGGTTTCGATCACTGGCAATTAGGGGAACAAAGACTAGCAAATTCTGCAAACAACAGACAGCCTTCAGAAAAGGGCATCCTGTTGGTTGATGACCTCAGGTCAATATCATTGACATTGGTTATTAAGGAAGACAGTGTAATCATACAGGAATGCATTCTGATGGTCAGTAGTATTGGCATCAAATGTTGTAAAAATTCAGTGTGGACAATGACATTTCAAATGTCAGTTTCTGAAATCTTGCAACATTAAATATTTCCAGATATTAAATATTATACAAGAAGCTACGTTATTCTGTAAGTTTCAGTAGCATACTCCAGTAATGAGTTAGAGTTAGACACCCCCCCAAAAAAGGACATAAAATCACTGCATGATCCAAAAAGAAAAGCACATCTATTTACAGTAAATGTTTTACTGTGTGTTGGTCTACAAAATAAGACTGAATAAGGTGTTAAATTCTTAGACCACAGCATTGAATGACAGAAATCATGAGCATTGAACAGAACTCTGCTGGAAAAACAGTTAACCAAAATGGTTTATGAAGCATTTCCTGTCTGAGTAGCCTGCGAGCAAAAAGCTTACATATTTTAGACACAATAAGGCTGCCATAGTGACAAACAGGCAAGAGGAACTACTACCCATCTGTCCATCTAACACTACAAGCACAAATAAGCACATGAAAACTTGCTATACATGTAAAATAGACATGACACAACTTTTCAGAAATATTACCACTGATTTTTCACAGACAACCACCACTTCCACACATTCCAGTAACCAACTTCCTATGAGATGAATCACATTTTGTGGTATAGCTAACAACAACAACTAGAATGAGCAGAGAACCTTCTTTGACACTGGACTTTTTAGCAGATTTAAGACAACCTAGTGAAATCTCAACCCAGACGATCAAACCAGACCGCAGGATGTGTGCACAGATCTAGATGTGATGCCTTACATTCAGAACAGTGATCCGAAAGGAAAACGTTATTCACCAAGGTTCACGCGACAGCTCACATTTAGGGCCCATACACCCCTCACCCACACAGGCGCCACGCGCCATCACAGATGTTGACAATGTTTCCGCAGCCTTTCTTCTCAGCCCAAGGCACGGCCAATTCACAATTGCCCTGCCCCAGGCCAACCTATTCCTAAACTTCCACATTTTAGCTCTCTCTGATTGTGAGCAAAGGCTCAGTATTAGTGATGGGCCAATCCACATTTTTTCAGTTCCGATTAGATTCCGATATACATCTGTCGATACTCATACAGATTCTGATACTAGAGCTCTTTTTAATATAATAAAAAGTATATATAAATATTTACACTTTATGTATTATTAATATTTTTAAACTGGTAAATTCAAATAAAAGTATGCCAGGACAACTTTAATTAAGCTACTGGTAACAAACATAACATAATGTTCCACCTCATCTGTACATCCTGTTTTAAGAATTTTCGAGGCATTTGCAGTTTAATTTGAGTATCTATCTTCCAAGCAAGGATATGCAAGTGGCGAATGCTTAAAATGCCCCACAATTTCTCCCACTGGCAAGAGTCACTTACACTTCGCTATGATAGCAGCCCCTCATGTATCACAAGCTGTAGGGAGTGTGCTAAACAGCCAAGCTGTCGACTCCCAAATCATCCATTGCTTTTTTCATATTACTGGCATGATTTCACACAATTGTTTGTGCTCTGATTAGTGGTATTTTACCCCTAAACGCTGCTTCCACCTCTCAAAATTTTGTTTTTACAAAGATTGCAAATCACTGTGCTACTAGTTGCTGATAAAAGACCTTTCAGATCGTCACTCTCTTATCTGACGTTCTTATGCTCCTCGTATTCCAAAGGGTATGCACAGCAGGCGGAAGTCACTGCACTCACACCCACTGAACGGCAAAAAGACTGAGAGGCAGTGTTAGCATTCAGCTTGAATGCCGCAAAAAACATATCCAAAATGATAAAGAGCTACTAATCAATTTAATAAGAAATAGGAGCTATATTTTTACAGACTTCCAAAAACTAAATAAGTATCGGATGTGGATCGGTCACATATGGCCGATACCCAATCTATCTAATAGGTCTGGATCGGTGCCGATACCGATCTGAATATTGAATCAGTACTCAATATAAGTATCTGAAGATCCAAAATGGCCCCTAATCCCCACAGGCATCAAAGGCAGCCAAGAAGAGCAGGCCTGCTCCACATGCCAACTGAGCAAATAAAACTAAATAAGCAGTGAGCAAACCCCAATCACATTATCTACAAAGAAGCCGACTGGCACTGACCTTTTCCCACAATTCACCAAAAATATACAAATACAAATGACAAAACAGATTTACTTCATAAGACTAACATTTCTCAGCTGGTTACAGCTAAATTTTATCCTCTGACCTGCAAAGGTTTTCCACAGTGGAAATTCTATACTCTCTCTCACACACAGAAAGCAATTCCCATTCTCAGTGTAAGGTCAAGTCAAAGCCACAGTCTCCCTTTGGGGGGTTACACTGGTACCAGCTGTGGGACAGATGTGCCGTCCGCCCCGGTTTGGGGGTTGGGTGGATGAGTCTTCCGAGGATCTTTCTAGGCTACACTCAATGTTGCCTCTCCATAACCAACTTCAAATAGCTTCACTAGGTGGTCTCAATTTTTCACCCCCCCCCCACTGCAAATCAAATCACATAATATCCTGTTGTAGTAAAGGTCTCTTCACAATATGACTGACTTCCCTTTATAAAGGCTCCACTGGAGCTCAAAGATGTAAATGAAAATTAAATCATGCTTGCTCATTAAAAATCAGCCTGTGCCCAGCAGTGGGCGATATGCTAAAAAAAAAGGATTGAATTACTAAATCTCAGCTTCCCTTCTATATTTAACTGATGTCCTTATGAATACTGTGTTCATTCTTCTACACACCCATCAGATGATTCCACCTGCAAATGCAAATGAGCTTCAAAATCCAAAATCCTACAGCTCCTCTTTCCCAGCAGAGAGCACCCGTGTCTCTATTAGGAGTCAAACCCCCACCCACCTGGTAGTAGGACTTGATCTGGCGAATCAGAATGGAAAGGTTCTGTATCCGGAGGGTGGAATCATTGTTCACTTTCTTGTTGGGTCTCTGAGTACTGCTTTTAGGGTTTCTGAGGGCAAAGACAAAAGGTATACAATTAAAAGGTATAAAATGGCACTGAAAATACCATACTTACCCTTCAAAATTTTCACAAACCTCAATACTTAAAGATGATTGCTGATTAAAAAAAATAGCTAAATGGAACAAGTCACCTTAAAAACCAGGGGCAGAAACTGGGTTAAACTAAAATAGGTTTGAGATCCAGGTTTCATACCTAACATGCAATGCCTTCCCAGCAATGATCTCCAGTGATGTTTGGATGCAAACACATGAAGGCAACTCTTTAGTGTTCCCAACCCCCAACATTCTTTACAATTTTTATGACCAGTTAGAAGATGCCTGTAGTGTACATTTGTAAACTACACTGTTGCTGCGTATAGTCTTGTTCTTGTGTAGCCAAATAATCATTTCCTTTCTGAGTGGACTTTTACTGCTTCTTAACTTTACTTTCACTTAACCAAAATGAAAGACTTGAATCAACCCTCTTTCGCTTTTATTCCTGGCTGAAGAGCTTCTGCTTATTAACCTTATTTATACGACTACCATCATTTTACCTACTCAAGAATTCAAACCTCAAATCCAAGTGCAAGAGGCATAAAAACATGCACTAAAATATAAAATATTGCAGTAGACACTGAATGTCTTCAGTGGGGACACTTCATTAACTGCGTGTACCAGACTTAAGGTGGACATAAACTTTAAATGAGGTCCAGACAAAACTAAATCGAATAGGTTTGTCCAAACAATCCTTCACATTAGGGTTGCATGATATCACATCTCGACATAATCACAATTATATTGCTCCCAAAGACTTTACATGACAGGCTTACACATTTGTTCGGACACCAGCTTTTCTGTACTATATGAACATTTACTTATGCCCACAATTTGATAAGCAGACTAGTAATATGACTAAAATATTAGAGGCATACTGTGACACCCAAAAGTTTGCAATCTGAATAAATTCATTATGTTTACGTTTATTCAATTCGGTTAGCAGAGCATGCCACACACTACTATTTTGAAAGAAGTAAGTTATGAAGTAGCAGTGATGAAAGGGACAGCTGATCAACCAAATCATCTTTTGAAAGAGGAGATATTTTGGATAAACAAGGTAAAAGACCTTGGGGGTGTAGCGGTACTTTTTGCAGTTTAAAGTCCGACACGTTTATTAAGCATAAGGATACGCTGAACCACAGATTACTAACTTCTATTGTACATGAATACAAATTTTAATTCACATTATTTAAAGGGCAGTGCAGTGCAAAAACATGCCGGTAACTGCATAGTCCTGCTAACCCTGTGGCATCACATGTACGTCAGCTAATTGTGAACAATGGGTGAGATCAGAACAATTGAAAAAAGTTCCTCAGGGAACCTAAACAGGCAGTGCTCCAAAATGGTGATCAATGCAGTGATTACACATCATGTGACAGATTCCATCATTTTTGTCTAAAGTATACAGCCAGCTTAAGGGGTGGTGGGTCAGTAATGTGCTAATAATCACCATCATGTTTGAATATACTTCATTTTCCACACAGCAGACCCAAGAGAACCCGAAATGCTCCACTTTTCCATACCATTGGCAGTACTACTGATACTATTACTACTGTATTTAGGTCACAAATGTCACTGTGTAAAACTGACTGCAGACAAAAAAAATGGGTGAGAGCTAAACACATACACATGGGCATATCAGACCTCATATAAACCCACTCAGTTTTTAAGAATCTGTGAACTCTTAATATTTACCATTTAAATTAACTTAAAACGCAAAATTGATATACCAAGCTGCACAAAAGTTTGATATGTGGACTCTTAAGGCTCATTCAAATGGGATACTGGAAGAATCAACCAAAGCATTTCCTGTTCTGTCAACATTCTTTTAAGACCACCTCACTCTAACCCCCCACCAGTCCAGCATTTTAAAATCAGGCTCATACAACTTAAACTCATCTGAATTACAGGAAGCAGCTCTTGTAATCATGTCCCCTCAAGGACAGTGAAACACTGCTTGTAAGATCACCATGACTCTCTATATAATCGACAAACATGCAGAAAGCAGCTCAGACAGCACCAACTCAAGGCTTAGTTTATACTGTCTGTCATTTTGGCCTAAAGGACAACCATCTGCAAGACTGAAAATTCACCTTCTCATGTGGACATAAAAGGGTCAGTGTGCCATCAGAATGGCATTTCTGTAATTTGGAGAATTCTCATTAATTATGGCCGACACTGCCATGTTCTTAACAGGCCAATACTCAAAGAAAAACCCAAAACCAAAGCAAGGAATAAATGTGTAGGACTGAGATGATATCGGAAAGAGCCTGAAGACTTCTTTTTAAAAAACTGGCCTTGGAAAAATAAGCACAAAAATACATTTCCTGGCTTTTATGAACTTTTCCATTTGCTTAATGCAGAGCTCAGATGCCAAACTGAGACCTTTCATGGAGGGAACCTCAACTTGCACATAAGAGTACTTACTGGGCTACTCATTATGCTTTTATTTTACTAAATATAAACATTTAAATAAATATTTTTGAATTTGAGATTTCTAGCACCACACAAGGTTCCCCAGTACATCCATTAATGCCATGATGGCCCTCATTACATCACTGGCTCCCATAGGCCATTACCCTTCAATCTGGCAAATCGGGTTGAGCCACACTGACTGTGTCCCTTCACGTAGTGGCCGACGCCCCCTCCAGCCAAAAATAGGGCCTCTGAAGAAGCACAGCGTGGGGCCATCTTAGCCCTTTAATTAGAAGGCAGGGTAGGAGATGTAATCCTGTAAACCATGCAAGAATAAGGGGCTCCATGTCTCAATTTACTGTTACAATAGGGGAACAGTAATGGATCTGCTACACAGAAATTGGCCTGCAGATGAGCAAGGGCCACGTGCATTATACTCACTGGTTAATTTAGCATCATGAGGTCAGCGAGTACCAAAGCAGAGAGACCACAAAAAAAAAGTTAAGTCTGCATGACACACATCAATGTGTGGAATAATGGGAGAGTGAGCTGGGGCCCACTGCACCCTGGGGGGGTGGGGGCTCAGGAGTAACCTATTTACAACTGCCTGCATAACTTTCAGCTGCAGCAGAGGTCAGCTCCAGCACGTGAACCGCTGCTATGCAAGGCTGCTCGTCTGGGTTAGGAGTGTCCTTCTGGGAGGGCGCGGGGTTGGCAGGGAAACTGGGGAAGCTATCATTAGTAGAGAGTATGGTAAGCACAGTGCAGGCTGACTGGAGGGGGCTTTGGGAGTGAAAGAAAACTAGATCTGGGCTAGGGTGCTAGTGGGAGAGTCATAAACATTCCAAGTCTTCGATGGTGGCTAAAAAACAGTTAGTCCTGAATGGGGGGTGGGGTGGGGGGGGGCAGGAGGACAGGTGGACATTGGACAGCCTGCCAGCTGCCATGGACACCCTCGCAGACCACCCGATGCAGGATGAGACCACGACCCTCCACCCGGAATCACGCCATTCAGTACAGCATCAGTTACCGCCAGTCTACATGAGCTTATCATGACAGCTGCCTCTAGAAGAATCTGCAGCATTGGGTCACCATTATCAGTATGTAATGTAAAGGAGAGCCTGATCTGAAGAAGCCACCTTTTCCTTAAACTCATACTTCAAACCATAAAACATTTGTTTTCACAATTTTTTTTAATAAAAGGGAGATGGTAAATAGAAAGTAAGTCAATGAGCATTTGCTAGGCACAGACTCTTAAATAAAAGTAGGCCAAAGACATGAAATGCAGAGGACAGCCTGTTAATAGTAAAGACCCTGGTGCCTGACAGGCAGCACAGTGCTGGGAGGGATGGGGGGGGAGGTTTATCCCTCCCTCCTGTCTGCTCCTGGCGATAGGGCCTTTTCATCTTTCAGGATGAGAACCAGCAGTGGGGAATTCGACAAGTACGCACAGGGATTTCAATAAGAATGCAAACTATGCCACTTCAGCCTCGACGGGAGACAGGGCAGAAAGGGGGCCGGGTGAGGGGGTGGGGCTGCAGTTCACAGAAGCTGCCGATGTCAGGGTGCATGAATATGGACCGTGTACTTGCTCAGCACGTTTGGTAAAACAGTAGCGGCTTGCCAAGAGACTAGATATCTGTGCAAGATATCTACATGAGAGCAGTACAGCCTGGGGATGGATGCTAATTTCACAGCGGCAGCTTTCCAGCTAGTCTAGAAGGCCACCAACCCCTCTAGGTACTGCATTAAGTGACGCTCTGTAAAAAGGCAGCAGGAAGCAGGATCTTTTTGTCTAGGAGCTGAGGGAAAGCTGTGAGGCAGGGTTGGACCCAGCAACACAGACAGACCTGACTGACGCTTGCTGCTGCACACAACCTTAAGGGCGCGTAATTCTGTGCTTAGTGGTGGACTAGGATAAGCTTGGCAACCGCTCCGTAAGGCGGAATGCCACACAACAGCCAGGGGCATGGTGTGGAGATCTGTGCAAATATAAGACCATTATTGTGCAAAGGGGCAGCAAGTTAGTAACCAAAAACTACACAACTAATATGCATAATGTGCAAAATACTTGCCCTCTTAAAAGCATTCAGCCATTCTGTGAGAAGGGCCCATATGAACCCATAAACACAGTATTAATCTCGGCAGTAAACATACAAGCTTATTCTTATCATTGCTGATAGCAACACAACCAAAACTGGAGCAGCCAAAGAAATAATACACTTGATTGTTATCGGCAGAAGCTTTTGTTCCTCCTCTCCACACAGGAGTACATCCTCGCATGCTGCCCAGTGCATCCTCACAGTAGAATATGACTGCTAATATGTATAGCAGCCCTGAGCTTCTGCTTACTGTCATCTGCGAACTGTCAACCAAACCATTTAATAATCCAGGATCCCCCCCAATACCCCAGACTCCCAACACAGCTCAGAGACTTCCTAACACAGGGCACGTCAGTGTCAAAGGCAGAGCAGACAACTGTCCTATTTCTTATTCCAAAAGGTTCTACTGTCCATATTTATTTCTCCAGCAGGCGTACATTTATATGTACTCATTCAGGCATACTGATGTAACAGCTCTGCCTCACAATACAGGGCTCACGTTAACAAGGAGTCACACAAAAAGTGTCACCCATTTGCCATTTCCAGCCCTTCCCTCCCACATGGTGTGGTGCTCACCAATGCCTCACTGACATGTGAATCCTTGTCCCTCACAAGATAGCAATATGAGCCACTAGATTGCCTGATTAAATTTACCAAGCTCCTAAAATCAGCGTTACTGGCCAAGTGCATCATGTGTCAGAGAGCAAAGGCATCACACACAGCACTAACAGATGAGCAGACATGTAAAACAATGTAGACATACAGCACAATTCAAAATTTAATCTTAATCACTTGGGTAATTAAGTGGGGGGTGCAGCTGAGGTCCCCAGACGAATCAAAGCAGTTGGGATATTGATTACAATGACTGCCAATATACAAGTTATATCCCCCAGTAACTGCATTTTAATGAGAGTGCAAGCTGACAAGGACGGCAGAGCCTCATTGAGTGTGACTAATTTCCTTAACAAATTGCCAGGCAGTAAATCAGTTTCGGGGTTATGGGATTAATACACACTTCTTTGTCTGTTCTGTGTGGAATCCCCCATTGCAATGTTTCAAACATGCAAGCACATGCAACAAAATGGATTCTATGGGGCCACTGGGGTGATCGATGCAGAAAAAACAACACGCTGCGCAGATCTCCTAGTGTTAAGAGAACTTCACACACGTGGGTGAACTGAAACCTCAACCGTTTGCCCCAAATTTGGGGTTTGCCGGGACAAAGGCAGCCTTGACGACTGCACCTGACAATGGGCACTCTGTTTCTGGGCTGCCTGCTAACTGGCATGATTTACGGTGGAATGACCTAGCAGACCTGTGGCGACAGCTGGCTTAGGCTGCTCACGGGCAGCAGAAGTGAACATCCTCATGGGGCATTGGAAACCCAAGAGGCAACCGCACTTGTTCGGTTAACGCTGCGGCAACACAAGACCTTATCTGGCTAAGTCACGGGGAAAAGCCTATTTCATAGCGGTGAGAACCCAATACGGTTCAAATTCTGGAAATCAGACTACCGGCATCCTTATTATGAGGCAAGAGAAACTGTGTCAATCAATGCCAAGCATTTTACAGACTGACCATTCAGACTAAGATTAAGGTCTGTAACATTTGGACCGCAGCACCTTCAGTGCTTTTCCAGTGTGAATGGCAAAATGCGTCTTAGGCAACGTTAATTTGGCCAAATCAGATCGAACTGGAGGATATCCCATTACAATAAAATACAGCAGAGTCTATTTAGGATACACTTTCTATATGTATGGTGAAAAATTGTTCTAACTTGCCCATAAGTTAACAGCCATTGGCACTGTAAGAATATTAGTTCCACCCTCAAAAACACATTAATTTCAAATAGCTCAAAAACAAAAAAAATCACTTTATATGGCACAGAAACACCACACTATGACTTTCCAATATATACTGAGCCTTCTTGCCAAAACGGTTAGAATACATTTAGGCCAAGCATCGGGAAATTATGGAATAATGGATGGCAGTACAGCTTCAACACTGCCGTTAATAAGGATAAATACCTAAGGAGCTCACATCGCGAGGATGAAAGGAGCCTGGCATGGCAATTATGATTAAGATTAGACGTGGAAATTGGAAATCACGCGACAAAGACGGCGTTTTAATACAAATAAAAGGCAGAATGGTTGGGAAGGGGGCGGTGGGCGCGATGCTGCGGAAAGCTCGCTGTCTGTCTGTCCTTTCCGGGGTGGTGCTCGAAATCTCTGCGGCAGCCCCACACTGACGCGCGCCGTGGACTAATTGAGTCCTTCATCCCATATTCATCACATTGACCTTGGCATCGCTGCGTGCATGCGTGGCCCAAACGCACTTCGGGTTCTTAAATTATATGTTACACTAATAGTAAATTAAAATATCAATACATTTCAGTCCTATTCCGTCGCAAGAATAGGTGGTCGAAAGAGAAAATTTACATCACATCAGAGTACCGCACCCTGCGACTTGCACCAGTTTAAGCCCACAGCACGCCTGGCATATTAACAAGCATGACTGCAAACCTTAAAGAAACGAGCTGAATCGCGCAAATCGGGTCACCGAGACCCGGATTGCTCGTTCGCCGATGGACACTGCAGATCCCGGCCCCGAGGGGGGGCGCGGCGGGGAGTCGCCCTGCAAGCTACTGTTGACACTTGAGTGTCCCAGGAATGACTGAAGCAGGCAAACCGGTCCATCGTTATAATTTCGGGTCGTCTGTACTATAACGTCTTGTTCGGTCCGAGTACAGCATTTAAGCAAAGCAACATTCACCCTTGAAACTCGCAGCATGACAACTGCCCGTATGTGTCTGTCTGTACGGTAATGCGGCGTGCATCTATTAATTCAGACCTGACAATCTATACGGAGCACGAAGAGAAATCTGTCGTACTTACATTTGGACCATGATATCATTCAAATAGACGCCGTCCACCAATTCCACGTATTCCGAAAGTTTGGTCCTTTCCTTCCCACCTAATTGACCAAATGTCCTCACCTAAGAACAAAGAGAGTTAGATACTGTACACAGAGACCATTCTAGCATGCCTTTACGTCTTTATCAAATTTCAAGCGGGAGCTTTAAAAAATAAATCTTACCCAAGTGACCAGCGGGTTGAGCATAAATTGCTCAAGCAAAGGCGTAAAAACCTCGTTTTCCATCTCTGTTAGCTAGCTAAATAGCCGAATCCAAGAGACTGTGGCGTCAATCAACGTATATATATATCCAACTCCTTCAAGCACAGAAGAGAAAAGATATCGACATATATCTAAACGCTTTTTATCGGGTTGATTGAATTATGTGGACGATTCATTCCTGGCGAAAGGAAAAGGCGTACGCCCGCTGCTGCTCTTCACCCTCGGCGAGTCAGTGTGAGATGGAGACGGCGTACCCGGCGGAGCCATCATCCTATGCTGCTAGGGAGACCAACCGCTGGATAACGCATTGTTTAAAAAAAAGGTCGGGTTTCTAACTGCAGACGGCCACTGGCTAGATATCAGCAGGATGAGAAGAGCGATAACAGGTAAAATAAAAAAAAACCATTAATAAGCGCAATTCTCACGTAGTCAGAAACCGACAAGGTAAAAATACGTCAAGCCTCGCGCTTAAAACACATACAAAAATATGTCCATATCGAACTTTGAATAATCCTTTGATAAAAAAAAAAAGAAAAGACTCAACAGATTCGAAAAAAAAATAACATAGCCAGCTAACTAAAAATGCATATATAACTTCCCATGCGGTGCTCGACAGCAGCAGCTTTCCTGGGAATGTCTGAAACTGATCAACGTCCTCGTCACCATCCTCACGCGCCCACCGCGCGCTACCAAGTAACGGCCGCCGTCTCCTGACAGCCAAGAAACCGTGCGCCGGAGGGGCGGCCGAATCACCACCTCCCCAGTTCACCTCCGCTTTCCTCTGCAACGAATCAGTTCTGCTGGGCACTGATTTTTACACACGAAAAATTGATTTGTATGCCTCCGCCAAGCCCATGCCTTTTACCCGCTTTTTGGAATTAAGAATTAAAATAGTGCGCCGTGAAATATATCGCGGTTTTGTTTGATTCATTTATTCATGTCTTGTTCATTCGAAATTATTACTCATTTATCGCGGACAGCCAAAAAATGTAATAGTTGTTGGTGGTCCCACCTCATCTACAACAACTTGTGGTTCACCTGGAATACTATGAAAATAAAGTATCCGTGTCATACTGTGACTTTCAATATTAATACTTAGTTATGAAATTAAACATTTTAGCTCACTATACAACTACTAGGTAAGAGCCAGTTGTTTGGACAAGTAACAGTTATTTTGATGACTGCAAGTAACAACAGTGACATCTGCTGATTTTAAAATCTACAGTATCTATCTGTTTTCAATGCGGGTATAAATTGAGTTTATGAATGGACTGAATTACTAGTTAACCTAAAGCACACTAAAATCCCGTCAAAGCTTCTGAAACGGAAATAAATGACATAAAGAAATGGATATTATTCAATTGTTGTCCGAGTCTAGAAGTCAAATGATGTCTTTACGACTTCATTTGAATGCTTGCAGGCCCTTATATATAATTTCTGTTACATGAGACAACAAATGTTATGTTATTAACGCAAAAGGATCTAGGACTAGTGACTATATGGATATACAGCATAGTAATACATATGAATGAATTATTGTTTCATATTTAAATTTCAGAGGTGAAAATTTGCTTTTTTGTTAATGGCCTTATCCAAAGCAATTTACAGCTTTTGTTCCAACAGGGTTTCATACTGCACATGCACTAAAATAATTTATACAGTATAGTATTTTCCACATATGTGCAAATTCCTTATGTGACATTGTATGTGATCATATGATGAGGCATGCTTGTTTGTGCTGAATGATTTATAGAACTCCATATCTGGTATGTGGCATGCAAGATGATGTCTCACTAAGCATATTTCAGCTACAAAGGGACGTCTGGATTGAAGATCAATGTGTTTCTTTGAAGCGCTCCTGTCAGAGAATCTCCTCTCCAGACTTCAGCATCTCAGCTACACCCCAGCCAGCATGCCCACAATGGCCTGTGACAATGTTACACTAGTCTTACCCAGATGATGAGCCCAGTCTTGGGCACCAGACTGAATTTAAATTGAATGGGCACTAATCAATGATCACAAAGCAGACAATTAGCAAGTCATTTTGGTGATTAAATCTACACTTCACAACTTTACTGCCAAACAATTGTTATGAGTGTCATTGATCTGCTTGAAACATATTCAAAGAATAATAGCCAGTCCTTCATTACTGATTATGCTTGAGGTAAATTCAGCTGAATTGTACTTTGAAAAATTTTGCCTCTCATAAAAGTTGTGGTGTTTTGAATGATGCCATCAATCTGATCTCCACGCTGTTAGCCAAGCCCAACTCCTAACGCAAAGTCATGCAAAGCAGGGTTGATGTTTGAAAAGTAAACGTTAAACATTATGTAAGCCAGCATATACCAGTCTGTGTATAAACAGCCTTTTCGAAGCATAACTCAGCTTCAAATCCTGCAAAACCTGTGACGTAAAATCCCTCACAGTGTTTCAGTGATATTTCTTATAGCGACATTGAGTTTTTATAACGCAAGACTGAACCCACTCCCCTTACGCTACCAGCGTTACGTTCCTGCTGCAGCAGGATGCGCCTGGTCTCTAGCAGCTGTAAACAGTTTGGCTCTGAATACTCCAACCCCCCTATACCAGTTCAGAAATGCGGGAGGAGGGGGGGGGGCAAGGGTAGAGTCCCAAAGGAGACTGAGGTCTTTTTCCAATCATCTGCTGCAGTTTATGTTTCACCATATTTTGGTGTTTTCAGAAACTCTCCTATTACTGTCACTGTCTAAATATCGTAGATACAAGGAGACAGTTCAACAGAAAGTCTTAGTGCTTTTGGAGCTTGCAGTCCTGAAAGATCGCTTCAAAAAAAAAGCATGCTGAAGACATTTGACCCACTTACCCAATCCACTTACATTTGTGGAGTCAATACAGGAAATCCAGCGAAAATTCGTAGACCCCTATGCCACTTAAATGAAGCCCCTTTGGCAGAAGTCCAATGAGGACTAAACTGCTTAATATGCAAGAAGCCAAGAGTTACGCTCAACGCATCACATTTTATATAACAATGTTACAAGCTACGTCGTTGGCTCAGCATCCATCCTAATTCATCTGGGGATTCTTTCTAATTTAAGTGCAGCATAAAAGACTCTGAAGGAATTAAGGGGGGGGGGGGTTAAATTCCAGACCTTGCAGGCCAGATTCCTGTGGTGTCCAGTGTGCCTTCATTAGTGACTGATTTACACCTGAAGACAAGGCAGTGCTATAATAATTGCCCCAAGAAAGCAGCTGAAAGCTCAGATTAATTGGGAAGCAGCACATGCAGCGAGCTTCAGTGACGGAGTGTTTGCTGCCTGAATTTGCACACTTTCTCCTTCCGCCTTAGTGGAGCCCAGTGTTAAGACAAGCCAGTGCCATTACAGTTTTGATTTTTCAATTTATCTTTCTTTCCCATATCATTTTCACATTTCTTTTGAAATCTCTTTTAGTTTTCGGTGTTTTTTTTTTTGGATTTTATTTTAAATATATATTTCTATTTTGTTTTCATATATTCTAATTTCAGCTTAAGTTTTAGTATTTTTACTGTGAGAGATAAACTTAAAGTTCTAGAGCTATTTTATGTGTCTGATCTTTTGAAAATCCCACATGAATACACAGCGGACGTTATGGACTAATGTCCTGGAAATGGACAAAATGTGTTCCGTGTGTCATCAATGGAAATTAAGGATGAACAATTATCACTTTCACCAAACACTATCAAAGACAGTGACGGAAAGCATTTGAGGTTTATTTGTAATTTATTTCAGTTAGTTTGGGGAGCAATATTTATAGTTTTTGTTTTTACAAAGCTTGAGCTTTTGTTGACGACGAACCTTAGACACGCTGGAGCCCCAGGTGCGGCTCTGGCTGTGCGTGGGAGGGCCGGTGGGGTGCATTGTTCAAACATCTGTAGATCTGTGCTCGAGGTGGCTGCTTTTCAGAAGATACTAAACCAAGTAGAATTCCAGGCCGTCTGCGCCCCCCCCCCAGCTCCCCTGGGGACCTGTTACCAGGCAACCATACTGACACCTACTGCAAACTTGGATATCTTGCAGCAGGCAAAGGTATTGCTGACATGCTTTTCTCCATTTGCAAGAATAAGGTGCCATATTATTAACACAACCTCTGTAGATAATGAAGGACATTGATGTTCCTAGTTTTGTGAAACCTGATATCATGTTCACAAATGACGTGGACGGATGAATGTATCTATCCATGCCATGTAGCATGGACATAGATGATTACATGAATTTTCATCGACGTGATCAGATCACCATGCTGGGCCTATGACTCCCCATCCTCCTGCAACGTTAAACTTTCTGGCAGTTTATCATCTTGGCAACATTGAATATTCCATTCACCGTGATTCAGGGTGGAAAGAAATACTCCTGCACAGCCTCTGCACATAAAAGGCATCAGCAGCAAGTGTGGGACATGCTGCCAACACGACATAACACTGAGGTAACAAAAATGTTTCTAAGTTCCTCATTAAATTATTCTGTTCTGTACAAATCCATGGCAACCTGGGAAACCTGCTAATAAAGGCTTTAAAATGTCGCAGCCCTTAATCTGTTACCATAACAACAGCACCCTGCCACACGCCAGCCCAATTCAAGGCAGGCGGCCCTCGCATAAACACAGCGGACGCGCACAATAATCCTCCATCATTAGCCATGATGTGCGCGTCTGAAGTACAGCGGGGAGATCATTTTGACATGAAATCCATAGTGCTTCCTGTGGCGGCACCAGAATCCTCGTCATCTGAGCGCGATGTGTGGAACAGGCCCTAGTGCCAGGCTGAAAATACTATGTTGTGCTAAAAATGGGATAAATGGAAGTAGCATCAGGGCATTAAAATTCTGAGGTTCTGCATATAAATTCCTACTGAAATATAACCTGACAGCAGTGGTTTTCAAAGATCCAAATCTTTGGAAAAATAGGCTTCAAATAGTAACAGAATAAAACAATTTGGCCTCATTAACAGAAGTCTATAGTGGTTAGTAATTAGCTTAGGCTTATACAGCCTTCGCTTGTGCCCACTGCACAATGACAAAGCCCCAAATAAACAGATAAGTGAAGCTGTGGCACTGATTACACACCTCCCTCTGCCACAGACTTGTGTGCCGCCCCCCCCCCCCCCCCCCCCCGCCCCCCCCCAATTCAGTTTTCTGAAGGATAACTGCTGGCCTGTCACCTTTTCACTCACATCAAGAAAGGTACAGATCTGCAGAGAGGAAGCCCACGCCAACCGCTCTGTCTCACAGTGTGCAAAGCAGAGTCCCTCGCGGGGATGATACGAGAAATGTGGTGTGTGTGTGTGTGTGTGTGTGTGTGTCTAGCAGCATCTCATGCTTTACCTGACCTGGGACCATGCATTGAAGGTGAAAACCACATCAATAATGCAGTGGGCTGCCAGCAAAGGCATCAGCGGGCTTCCTGGGACTGACCTCAGGGGATGCTGCTCCGTGAAATCATAAAACCTGCTTCCGGAGAGCTCCACAAAGAGGTCATCATAAGATAGGTCATAAGATTTTTTGGCTATGTGAGATATTATTCATATTCATTATATAGCCTTGTTGCCTTAAAAGTAAGAACACACTGGAGGTATTCCACAAAGCAGGATTTCCTGGTTAGTAGGATAACTTAAGCCAATTTTGAAAATTGCCCAATAGGATGAAAGGTGAGTGACATTCCAATTGGACAATCTTTACATTTGTCTTAAGTTGACACCTACTGCATCATTCAGCAATCCTGGCTAATGAAAAAAATCCTGCTTTGTGGAATACACGCCAGTTCTAGATTTACCTATACAGGAATACCA